ACACCCACGCAGGGAACGAGCTGCAGTGAAACCGCCCCACCAGTGCCGATCCCCGGCGGCAGGGCAGCACGGGCAGCGGCGCGGGCAGGAGCGGGGTGTTGACTCGCCCCGGCCCCGCGGCGCCAGATGCAGCCAAGGGGCTGAGGTGACGCAGCGCCATGATTCAGCTTCCAAGCCCGTGGGCTTTTTATTTTGATAACAGCCAGTGTGAGACTCGGATGGAAACTGTGTCAGAGCTGGTTCTCTCCCGTTGCCATAAATCAAAACATGTGTTTTCTCCTCACACGTACAGGCACATGCATCTGCTTTTTCCTCCTACGAGGAGTCTCCTTGCTGCAAGAGGACGATGATCGTGCCTATGTGAGTTACGCTGGAAAGTAGCTCAGTGCAATGAAGAGGCAACAAGATGGCCAGGATCCCTGCGCCGGGCGTTTTGCACACTTCTGAAAAAAACCATTTCTGCCAGGATGCTGCTGGCTGAGGGTGGGCGATTCATGGGGAGCAGCAGACATGGCCCTGCGGCCCTGCAACCCCGGGTCGGCGCCTGCCAGGAGGTGCTGCCTGCAGCACAGGCAGGGTCAGGCGCAGCCTTGGTTTGGCTTCTGCATTTTGGTATTACTGCTGCTTAAAAAAATAAATGCAATGAGCAGCAAGAGCAGCAGGGGAGAAGCGAGCATCTCCTCTGTCACCACAGAGCTGATGCTGGCTCCGACACAGCCCTGATTGCAGCCGCTGAGCTTCCCCGCACACCCCCAGCACACCAGCCACCGCTGCCTCCGGCTCCCGGGGGCTCCCACCCGGCCCCCCACCGCAGCCGGGGCCTGCGCGCTCCCAACCCCTGCGCTGGCCGGGGAGCGGAGCTGCTGCCACCCCTATCCGAGCAGCTCCAGCATCTCTCAGTGCAGGCACAAAACACCGAGAAGGGATGACCACACCAAATGGCAGGAGACACCCCACACCGCAAGCCCCTCGGTTTCGGTCGGCCAGAGCAGCCCCAGTCGCTGCAGACGGGTGGTGGAAGAGCCCAGGTCAGCCCACCGCAGCCAACGGGCGCCGACCCCACGCCGCAGAGCTGCTGCCGCCCACTGTGGGCTCAACGAGATGCAGAAAGACCGTCCTGCAATGGAATTACTAATTGCAAAACTATTTGGGAGGAAAAGAAAGGTTTAAATTTTTCAGCCTGACCATAGCTGACCAAAAAAAAAAACCACCCAAAAACGCTGCTTCAGAGAGGACATTTCTGTGCTGAAATTATACAGAGACCTAGCTAAGAGACTTCACTAATTTACTTCAGATGGGAACATTGTAAACTGACTTTGTGCCAGCTAGTTTATATAAACGCACAAACAAAAGAACTGTATTAATTTTTTATTTAGAAGTAAAGATCATTCCTGTAAATTGAATTACTTTGAACAATGTGCTATGTAAACAGTCGTACTTGCTGAACGGTATCAAACGAGGGGCAGGCTTACCAAGCTAATAGCACGTGGTAATCGCTGCTCCCCGCTTGAATCACAGCTTGCTGCGGGAGGGGGGGGGAACACAGCATGGGGACAGGCATGTCCCGATGCCTCTGGGACAGAGGGGAAACTGAGGCACAGGGCACCGCACGGGAAAGATCACATGTCCCCATCACACACCAGCTGGGATCTGGGGGAGACACCCAGGTGGCCCCAGACCCACATCACGGTGTCCCCCTGGGGCCAGGCGGGACCCCCAGGTTGGTGGCAGTTCCCAGGGAGCAGGGCAGGGGCTGCTGAGGGTGCAGGGGCTCGGGGGGCCGCAGCAGCCAGCGCAGGCAGGGGCTGACACCACTGTCCCCTGCAGAGCCACGGCACAAGCAGCGCCCGGCGAGAGGCTGAGGCTCGGCAGCCAGATGCGAGCACGGGGACTGCGCAGGCTGCGGCACCGGCAACCGCCGATGCTGTGCCTGTGGCTCTCGGCCAACACCTGCCTCCAGCACCATCCACAGCGATCAGGTTTTACAGAAACCACGCTGAGCTGGGGCTGGGCACGGGCACTCGCTGTCAAACCAACAGAGACCATCACCGCAAGCAACACAGGAACGGGGAGAGAAACGCCTGCAGGCAGGCTGCCCTGACCTGTCGGCACTGGAAATAACGGCTCAAAAATAAAATAGACTTTAGTTCACCAAGCTCACGGGGCAGTGAGAGTCCAAAGAGCCCTGTCTGCTCAGGGTGGCAGAGCACCAGGCGAGGGGTACCCCATGGCTCCTGCCACCCGCCTGGCAGGGACAGGGACGGGGCCACACTGCAGCAGGAGACGCAGAGCCGGAGACTTTCTCCGAGCCCAGCACTGCAACACAGGCCGGGGCATCACCAACATCTGCCGGAGCCATCGGCTCAGGCCCTGTGCGTAGTTTGTGGTCGGTTGAGCGGATGCTGCCGGCTCTCCGCAACGGTTTGCTCTGGGAGATGGAAACTGCCAACGACATTACCGGGAAAGACTCATCCCAGAGAGACTCATTCCAGAGACACTCATCCCGCCTCCCCCAGGGGCGGCCGCAACATCTGGGGCACGGGAAGAGCAGAGGCGGGAGGACGCCCTGGTGCGTCCTGGCTCTCATACGTCGCTCGTACCCGGGTGCCGCAGCTCCCTGAGCCCTGCTGTCCATCCCTGCCTGCGGGGACGGGGCAAGGGACGCCCAGCGCCCAGGGCCACCCACAGCTCCAAACATTCCTGTCACCTCACGAGTCCTCTCTGTAGGAAGCCCCTAACACAGCCCCCAGAGTCAGCTGCGGCTTCCAGAAATCACCCCAAATTGCACAGCTGCAGCGGGTTGCTGCAGCGAGTCCATCTCCACGCCGAGCCACGGCAGTGCTCGAGCAGGAGCATCGTCCCAGTGGGGCACGATGGCGAGGGGTGATGGAGGTCACCTGGGCCGTAGCTGAGCTGTGGATGCCGCCTCACCCGCTGGTCTCTTGCTGTCCCAGCCCCCAGGGACACACGCTGGGACTGGTGACCCCGCGATCGTGTGCCTAAGGGCTGCCCAGCGAGGCAGGGAGCCACGGGGTCCCAGCGGGGTGTTGTGGGAATCACACTGGGATCACACCGGGCCTCCCTGTGACCAGAGCTGCGGGAGCTTGGCCGTGAGCGGCCCTCGCATTGCCCGAGAACACAACGTCCTGCTCAATGAGCTCCAATTTTAATTTGGTCCTCCTCGAAGTGCTGGAACCCTGGATGCCAAACGCAATTATTTGACAAGACACAGGAAACAGCAGCATTTGCTTAAGAACACACACAAGGCCGCGGAGCTGCGGCAGCACCAGCACTTACGCAGCCCCTCATGCGAGTGGGGAAGGGAAGGTCGGACAGACCAGGCCTGAACACGGCCCCCCAGCCCAGGCTGCCCGCGAACAGCCCCGGCTCCCGGGGAATTAGCGCTGGTGGGATAAAAGCCGCCGTGTGCTCCAAGGCAGAGCGCATCCCGCCGCCCCTTCCCGTCCGCCTTGGCTCCAAAGACCCGCACGCATCAAGATAGGTTTTCTGCTTTGCTCTTAAAAAAAAGAACCCCCACACTTCATCTGCAGTAAATAATAAATAAAAAAAATTAAAATAAAAAAAAACCCAAAAATATCAAAAAACACCATCTCAAGAGTCAGGTTTGTCCTTTGCCGAGTGCCGGGTCCCGGCTGTCCCGGGCTCACCAGGCTGCGGGCTGGGATGCTCCCGGGAGCCGGG